GTATTTCCCAGGGCTGGTAATGTCTTGTGGGACACGTCATCGCATGCCTGCACGCCAGGATTGGGAGGTGCGACCGTACAAACAGTGGCCAATCATTAACCTCCGTTTGTTTAATCTAAACCGCCATCCTGATCATGATTAAACTCCCTGCGTGTACACTTTATCCGCAATATACGTCCTGAATAAACGTGCTCCGTGCTACACGTCTGTTTCCTTTATAGCTGGGCTGTAGATAAGCTGGTTCTGGGAGTCTAGCTAGATGCTGGAGAATCTGCCATAGAGATTTCTGAGTCAGTCAGGCTTTACTAGTGTAGTAATCCGCTACAGTCCGTTAAGAAGCTAGAATAGGGTTCAGTTATGAGTAAAAATGGCTTTAACTTTAAGCTGAAGTGAGAAGTTTCGGACATAATGAATAGAAAGCGATTTAAGGCTTATTTTTTAAGATCACGTAATTTCCATATGATCTCCATTCGTGTTTTTCGTAACTATATGTAAAGGAGAAGTGCATTGAATATTTGAAGATCGAACAATTCTTAAATGCCAAATGCCAATGAAACACAAATGTTTACAGGAGAAATTTACCTTTTCCTTCATATCAATGCTTATACGAGGGTGCCAATCAACTTCAAAGAGGCTTCGGATACTACACTATTCATAAAGTACGAAGAATTCATATCCTTCGATGAAATACGGATTAAATAGAGATATATCAATTTTTGACAATGGTGATGGCAATCTAGCAAAACAGGAAGGTGAGCCTTAATACCATCAAAAAATTTAACCTATATGTCAAGTTCCACATGTAGGATGTCAGTTATTTAGTCGAAGTTACCTATTAGGTTTCCCTATAAAATGAATTGACAAAAGCGTGATTTTACTAGATTATGTAAATGCGTGTGAGTTTACTTGTTAAAAAATTTTATTAATTAGCAGTATATCATAGTGGCCAATATTCAAGTTTGCAATAATCAGAATAAAATATTCTTCTTTCCTGCATTACTACATCTAATTAGTATTAAATAATATGAAGTATGAAGGCATAAATTGGCTAGCGCCATCTTCTAATTATTATTCACAATGCGTAACGAGAACCATAAATTAGTGAAAGTTAGCGTTATTTGTAATGAATAGTAAATATCAGTGCAACGATGCCGTATGATTTTCGATTATGAAACTTTCGTCAAATATAATAATTCGAAGATATATTTCTATTCCAAAACTAAATATTTGGAGAATCATGTCAAATATAGACACCATGCTCGAAAAGTAGAAGAAATTTCTAAAACTGCAACTCAAGGTACGTCTGATAACTTTACATAAAAATTGAATGTCGCTAAAAGTTAATGGGTAATGGAAAAGCTAATCTCGAGAAAATTATCGGATGTGCAAACAAAGACAAACCAAAGTTCGCGACTCTTCAAACTCATTAGGAATATAACTCGTGTTATAAATAAATAAATCGATGCAAGCACATATATTTGTATATCAGAAAAAGGACAAAAAGGATATTTCTTAAATCATAATTTTGCAAATTAACTAAACCAATCAGTTAAAGAGGTAAGCAAATAAAAACATAATATTAAAATGAAAAAGAGTCAAATATGTTATAAAACATCTCAGTGCAAAGAAAGGTTTACCATTTTTAATTAGGCAATATTACCTCAGCCTAGAATACAATTGGTTAACATTTTCACCGAACTTTACGAATTATTTGGGCATCACGCATTGTACAGATTTGTTTCCGAAACATGTACTTATTTGCAGTTATCTAAGTTTTTATGATTTAAGATGATGACCACTTATGTTATATATGCTTATTGCAATCTTACTTAATTATTTCTATTATTGAGAATTCATTCAGTTTTATAAAAATATATTTATATATTAGTAGTTTTCACTTTATATATTATTTTATCGCATTTATTTCAGTCTACTGCTATGCGGCTTCTCCAACCTATCTGCTTTATGTCAAGCCGTGTTCGCCTGTCATGCTCTGTTCCGAGTTCGTTATCTTCCAATGTTCAAGTATACACAAATCCAATTTCAAAGCTTGTTGTAGGAGCAAAAATCTTCTCCCTTTCCTCTAGTGGTGTAACTCTAGCTGCACAACCCTTTGTCATGTCAAAATTTGCCTCCTTTGCAACATTTGCTCCATTTTTTGTCTCCAGTTTAGCTTTCGCTCTCCTTACCCCAGCTCTTCTTCATGTACTCACTCGATCATGCGTTTTTTCCATTACTTACGATAAGAACAAATCGAAATTTACCGCTTACACAAAATCCATCTTCCTTCGATCTAAGTCCATTGAGTTTGACGAAAGTGATGTTTCTTATTCAGTTGCCAGTTTAAGTTTTGCTAACATGACTGTCCGTAACAAGACACCTCTACTGGTTCTAGAAAACGGATTTTCCGATTTAGAAATGAAAAATAGACTACTTGGTCTTGACAAACCCATCAAATTTAAATAAATATTACATTGTATTAGCATTTTTCTATCTTCTGTTCCGACGTACCATATTAGCTTTATCATACCGGTTTTTACATTTTAGGGAGTATGGTAAGGTCGCCTTTGGTCTTAAATCTATCTCGAGCTTATAAAATGGTTGGCTTTCGGGTTCAACTTAAGAATAAGGCCCGTGCTTCAGGACATACAGTAAGATAACATAGAAAAAGTATTTTTCACTTTTAGTTGAAACCATTTGTAGATTCTAAGTATGTGGTAGTACATGCTGGACAGGGTGGTGACGGCTGCATTGCTTTTGATCGACTTTTCTGTAATCCCAATGGGGGCCCGAGTGGCGGTGACGGTGGCAATGGAGGCCATATAATTTTTGAGGGTACTACTTCATTTTTATTCAGTAGCCATTAATTTTGTGCTTTATTTTACTATTTGCTTGATCGCAGCTGATCCCTCAATTCACGATCTCTCGCATATTAGTTCAATTCTAAAGGCTCCAGATGGATGCAAAGGTTCAGGAAGTAATCGTCATGGAGCCAGTGGGAAACATCTCATCGTTGCGGTGCGTTCATGTAATTAGTCAATTATGTTTACTTGATATATATTTTGATTAGGTGACTGGTATCGTCTTTATTAGGGTTTTTGTTGCCCATAACACTTTAGAACCTTCAAAATTCTACTTATGAAAAACATTGGAATATGGTCAATAGTAAGCAAGTCTATGGCATAGAGGTGGCGAATACAATAGTAAGTAGTTAGTGAGGTCAAGACAGTGGATAGCAAAGGGATTTTCTAAATTTCTATCATATCATTGAACTCTCAACTACATAAATGAGGTATTCGTAACCTGTGTTCAAATGGATTTGATTCTATTGTTGGTCGTATCGCATAACGTTATTAGTACATGTTTACGGTCAAGAACCGTTAAATGAGACTCACAAAAATAGTACTTAATCCATTGGCTTCTCAATGGAGCAAAAGTGCGTTGTACAACGCTTCACAATATGTTTTTTCCTAGCCACTTTCAATATGATTTATGGAGTTATGAGACGTGCTCGAGGAAACGTATAGACTTATATTAAGTAGTTTATTTTTTGCTAATTATTAATTAATCCTATTCCTAAAGTTTGATTTGCATTTAGAGGTTTCGATAGAGTAATACTTTAAGGCAATTTTTATATTTCTCCCGGAGGTATCATTCTATATCCGACTTCATAGTCTATGAACTGATAGAGCTACGATAATTATAATAATGGTCATGCACGAGAGTGGACTATATTGTCACAGACTCTAGTAGTTCCTTCTATCGCTAACTGACTCACTTATTAACAGCATATCATAGGGTGGCTAATAAATATTGTGTGGTATTTTTAAAACAGAATCCTTTCGTGTTTCTCAGCAAATTTGGAAATTAATAGATTAAAGTTAGTGATATTTGATATATGTATCAACGGAATCCATCTTTCTCTTCTCTCATGATTGGAGGAAAGGGATGTCACCTTTACCTTTGTTAACCGCATTTTCTTTTACTTGTTTTGGTTGTCATTTTCTGTTCAACGGTCACGATTTGATGCTTTTCTCATGAAATATCGTTACCCTCTGCTTACTACTGTAGCCAAAAATGTATGTGGCCATTTAGATTTCGACCTCAGTTCCATTTTCAATGCACCAATGTTGTTGGTAAAATTTAAAGTAATATTTGTCCGCTAGACGTAGCCAAAATTTTTAAATTATTGCCTTTTTGCTTATTTTCCACATATACATTACTACCATTAGTTTTAAATGCTCTGACCTTAAGAATGTGCGCAAAAAGGTTATTTACACTATACTTACCTCAGTTCAACATTTAATAGGAAAATGACCTGTGTCTAAAAATCCTGCATGAAGTAAAACCTGGAATAAAAAAACCTCCTAGTTTATGACTGATTTAACACTGCCGTCAATAGATGGCTTGAATTTTCTGGGTGAAGCTAAAGGAACTATGAAGGAGATAACCAGTTACCTATTTCAATGTCAATTCTCGACAAAATTTTCACATCCGATAGCGTTGCTTGCATCGCCATTTGCAGTTATTCGTGCTCGCTTCTATAAATTTGCATGTGATTAAGTGAAATGACACATTCGCTGAGTAATAAAGTACCTGAAATATTGTCCAGACAATTAGAAGTGTTACCCTCTGCTCTAGTCTGAGCGTTATTTTAAATTAACTCGACTGTTAAACACCATTCCTGTGCTTTGTCCAATTCGCTAGTATTGTTTACTGTCATGGGCTGAGCCCAGATAACCCTATATAATTCGCCCAGTCCCTGATGCTAGTAAAAGTATTATTGGCGTTACTTTCCACTTTTCAGTAGAACATGATCTCCATAGGACAAGTTTTCTGTTCTTTCCACTCTGAGAATGTTTAAAACTGTCACTTCTTCATAGTCTTCTATTATACCCTTGTGCATTGTGATTAGGTTTGCCTGTTGAGAATACTTTTGGTTCTAACCCAGGTGTTCATTTAATCCTTCTTAACATAAGCTGATCATGATTTAAAGGCATACAATTGAAAGAATCTAAAGCTCGTTTGCTTTGTCTTGGGGTTCTATATTTGTTACTAATATTGTTCAGTTTAAAAGGTTGTAAATTCATTGAGCTATTAATCGAAATTCTCCAAATCGATGGTTTTGGGTCGGTGAGTTCCGAAATTGACTTTTGAGTGATCTCATACGTTTCTTTCCTGGGCCCATTAACCTTTTCTTTACAGCTCGTACGCCCTCTGAAAATTAATATGACATGACTAACTTCTGATTAAGGGCTCCTAACTGAGGTTTCTAGAATTCAAGTTGGGTTATTTCTATTCAGAATAATGTAAAGCGTATTCCCCATTGTTCAAGTGTGCTTTAATCTGAATTCTGTGATCTTATATCCGGGTATTAATTGTCACACATGATAGCTGTATGTCTTGATTCGAATCCCCCAGTGATCCTGAAGAAATCTAATCCTATTTTAAAAATCTTCGAAACGTCCAAGTAGCTTTTTTTCCAAGTTCAATCTCACTTATCAGAATTTTTCAAATTTCTATCTGAGGATTATCAAACTTGTAAATTTTTTCTCCCTATTAAATATGCGTATCTTCAACAAATGTGATATGCATCGTACTATTTTTTAAGATAAAACATAACTAAAGCAGAAGAAATGGAATAGTTTGGAAGAATTGAAGGGAGATTATGTCTTGTGGATTTAGGGTTATTAATTAGTAGCTTTTCAACTCAATATGTGATGCGGCTTTTTCTCAATGTACTTTGAAGATGCTCGCACTAAATCCAATATCAATTCCAAAATTAACTGTCTGATATTTGGCATCTCAGCAACTGTTGTTATTGACAAGACCTAAAGCAATCAAAAATCGGGCACTGGAAGTCCTTGTTAATCATTGGTTGAGGGGAGCAGAGTTACTGTGGGCATATCGTAAGAGCGTAGCTTTCCCTTCCACGAACATTCAGAAACAGTGGATAGCTTCACGCCCCATTGCATTCGTTTGAATTGCCCCAAGGTGGGGATTTGCGCTTTCAGGGGTAGGAATTGGAATCGTTGATTGTTTTAGCCACGGTTGTCATGTAAAATTAGAGACTATCTCGGTGTCTTGATCATTTTAGCAGTGATGTTGTCTAAGCCTTCTATTGTATCCGATTGTGGTATAAGAAATAAGACAGCTTCTTCTTATTATTAACATATCATCTAAAATTCTGAATTGCCAAAATCGTGGCATTTTTAGTTCCATTGTGTAGTAGCCCTAATTGAATTAATCATATTCCTTGGTATCTAATACAGGTGCCTCTGCAGACTCAGATTTTCTCCGTATCTCCGAAAGCTGAGGAAGAGGAGAACATGAGCTTGTTGAAAGTTCTCTCTACGCCCTCAGAGACAATGATCGCAGCTCGTGGGGGTGCGGGAGGTCGAGGGAACGCCTTTTTTGCCTGCGCCAATCAGCCTCGTCACTCTAATTCTCATTGGAGAGCCCGGGAGGCTACGCTGAGACTCGCTGAAAGGGGTTCGGTGGGTCAGACACGACGCCTTTTACTGCGGCTGATGAGTTTCGCTGATATTGGGCTTGTGGGTTTCCCTAATGCTGGCAAATCCAGTCTTCTTCGACGTCTTACTCGTGCGAGACCTCGAGTCGCCCCCTATCCTTTCACCACCCTTCAACCACACGTCGGTACCCTGGAAATTCCTCCACAAAATGGAAAAGAAACGCTGAAACTAACAAGTTTGTCTCTATTCTCTCTGAAGGCTATTTTGTATTGGTGATGGAACGTGAGGGGATTAAGGCAGTTGGGTTAAATTGAATAGTTTAGATTTCGAACCGAAAATAATTAGTTTAAGTAGATTCATTGTTAAATTTTCTAAACTTGAAATAAAAAAGATAAATGAAATGAAAAAAATCGAAATTCCAAAAAAATTAAGTTTTATATATTCATAATTTAATTAGGACACAGTGTGCGTTCTTGAAAATTCCACTTTGGTATGCCAAATTAATGCAGTCTCAACGGGGCATAAATGTGTGCAGCTATACTCTCTTATCTTCTCTGACTTGGATCCTCTAAGCAAGCACCGCAACAGGACTACACAAGTCCCCAACTCCTTTACTCACTGCAACTTTCTATTTTCAATTTTTTGCCACTTTTTTGTTGTTTTATAGAATAAAATATTGAAACTCAGAGGGTCCTAGGTTGTAGCTCTCATGTTGCATCGATATCCTTTTAATAGACGCGAATTAGCTACCTCGACAACTCTCGAGGTGATTATGGTCATGTAATTTATTGCATAAATGAGAAGTTGAGCTGTTGTGATCCAATCACGGTGATTGCGACTAGCATGTAAGATCACCTTCCTCCTCAATCGCAGGAGGAAAAACGACAAGATCACCCGATGTTGACTGGATAATCCCAGCTATAAGCACTGAGCATCCCTGGCAAGCATTTGGAGCAATCCATTTGAGCAATCGCCAACATTTCAAAGAATCGGATGCATTAAGTCTCTATTACCTTGATATTGCTCTCTATTTAGTTTTACCAAACCTCTCCTCATCATTTGTTGGACTCTTATAGAATGCCAGTTATTTCCAACCTGACTCCCAGCATTTAGATGTTATCTGTAGTCCCTAGTAAATGATCTTTGTTATTCAATTATTTGTGTTAAGCTGAATACCTCATTAACCTCTGCAGAAGATTTATTTCCTGAAGTCTCCTGTTAGACCCCTAGTAAAAGACTGAGAGAAAATATAGACATAATTTTAATGCAAGTGTAGCAGTACCACGTTTCTGAGAGAGTGGTCGTTAGTGTCAAGTGCCTCAGTGAGTTGACGGCATCAAGTTTAATTTTGGATCTAAAGGGCACAGAGGAGTCCTATTATTAAAAATTAATACATTAATTTCCCTATTTAATCCGGGCTTATCATCTTCTCTCCGCTGAGGAAAAAGTCATTCTTAGATATGTACTCTTATTTATACTCTGTTTCTTATTATCCGCCACACTAGTTTACATCAGTTCCGAATTCATTAAAACAACGAGAGTCTCTCATTCTATCTCTGTAAATGATATACAACTAGTATACCTGATTTGAATTATATTCAATACAATACTGTTACAGCTGCTTAGTATCATGTAAAAAGTAGCTTGACAACCGAGTTGTAAACACCGATATCGTCGACAAGGTCGCCTTCAGTAATTAATGTGTCAAATTATTAAATACCCAAAAAGTATTTTCATCCTGAATTAAAAAATTCAATTAAAATGAACTTTTAATGTCTTGTGGGGTTCTAGATATCTTTTTTGACCCTCTCTTTGGTTGATTTTCTAGTAACTAACTTTAGTTTAAAATTTTCTTCAACTGCTGCTAATTCTTTTCTAAGATCTGCATTTACTTTGTGAATTATGATGTTATAATTAAAGAGGTTACTCTTTGTGTGTGTAACTGTCAACGCTTGATTGAGGGGAACTTCTCACTCACCCAAACTTCATTCTCTCTTTAATTATACAGTCGCGGATCTTCCCGGGATTATCGAAGGAGCTGCCACTCACAATGCCGGCTTGGGGGCATGCTTCCTGAGCTTCATCGAGAGATGTCGGGCTATCGTCTACCTAATTGACGCGAGCACTGTTCTGAATGCCGAAGGAAGTGAAGCTCACTTTGTTTCTTCAAGCGACGCTACTTCCAAATTCTCTCAACAATTAGGTACACTCCTTCGGGAGTTGCAGTTGTTCAATCCACATCTGCTTGACTCCTCACGACTGTCCCTTGTGATTGGCACGAAAATTGACCTTGTGGTACCACCTTCTGGGGGTTCGGATTCCCTTAGTAAAATTTCCCAATGCCTGATTGAAGCCGCTCGACGTGTGCGCTTGATGTCACCCCAAATTCTTCTCATTTCATCACTACGTGGAGACGGCGTCGATGAATTGGTAGAAGTACTTTCAAATAAACTCAGTAAACGAGAGTAGATGTTGAATTTCAAATAAATAGCATTTATATTCATTCTCTCGCCCTTTTTCAAGCCTTTCAAATGTGGACGATTTTCGCCAATTTTCAACAAATTTTCATGAACCCTAATCTTAGGTATAGTTTTTTTAAAGTATGATATACTTACTGTATTCAATAATGACCTCTGTCATGTCAAAACATCTTAAACGGTAACAATGAACTTAAGGTGAGAGAGGCCGATGAACTGAGTTATCTCGACCGGACAATCAAGTTGTCTTTTACCAATTAAATTTTTCTAGCTTTCAAAAAGAGCTCAAAATATGAGTATGCTTAGAATTTATTGGTTAATGCACCAACACTTAATACGGATGTATATTTATAAGCAAAGAGGTGTCTAACGATATTCAACCAGTAGGAATTCCTATTTCTCATCGAAAGTTCTTTGTTAAAAAATTACTTGTAATTGAAACTGAAAGGGCTTTTTGAGAAAAAGTAGTTTTCTAAATTTCTTTCTTTTTTTGGGGGGGGGGATTACACATGCAGATGATAGCTTTGCACTTTACTACCTCCCTTGGAGATGTGGGCTCATCGTCCTAGAGTCGGGGTCCGACATCATGTACTGTTTTAGCCATGATTTATTTATTTCAAATGGCGGGCTTTATGATGCTTATCATTAGCCCTTTAACTGGCTTCGGGCTTCACAGAGGGAAGGAGGAACATCAAAATGAGAAAAAGTGGAGAGGGGGGACAGAAGAGTGATTTAAAGTTGTAAAAGAGACAGACAGACACAAAGGCAGAGAAAAGGTGCGCTTTAGCCAATTTGAGGACTCCAATGGCGTCTCTATTAATTAATAACCGCGTTTCCGTCTAAACCGTCTTTGTACTTCTTCAAAGTATCTCATGCCATGACAGCCGTGTTAGCGTAATTTGGAGGCGAAGCTTGACTTGAACTATAATAAATCACATTCGAGACCGAACTTCATTTCTTAATGGGGTTAAAAGTATTATATATTGACCAGAGAGGATTCTGAATAAGTATTGCCTACATTACATTTCGTTTCATAGTCCTCGTGAAAGGTAGCAGTAAATTTCATCTTTGGCTGGTCGGTCTTGGCACTTAAAGTAACCATCTTCTTTCAAAGGAAGAATGACTTTGCATGCTACTCTCTGCACGTAAATGAGCTGAGTGGGCCCATTTTTATAAATAAATAATTTAGCAAATTAACTATTATTTTGGACCTAAAAATCCTACTCAGCTTAATTAGAGCATATTTTCCTGGATTACTATTCTAAATTTAATCTATCTGCTAAAATCTTTGCCATCATTTATTTATTCATTGTTTGCATAACTGATAATAGCACCACTTTTGATTCTTGGGATTGCTAAATTGCTTTTCACATGGTGCTGTGTGTTGTTGAGTGCTGCTACATTAGCAATTCAGCCGTACCCCCCTCCCTCCCTCTCTTTCTGGGGAATTTTATGTTTCAAGTGCCAGATGCTTCTTCATTTCACAGGAGAAGGTCACAGCCGGGATTAGAAATTCTAAAATTCAGCATAAAATGCACATTTAATAAATGAAGGAGTTCTACTTCTTGAGTGTTTTTCCAGACAGCGCGCAATAAATAGTGCACTGGTCATCTCAAATAAGCCAATTAATCTCTTTCACTTCACTGTCCTTTTCATTGAAAGCCAATTTTATTCTGCTTTGTTGAATAACTTCTCAAGAAATTTAGTGAATTGAATTTGAAATGGTCTTTTTCCTATTTTAGGAAATTCACAATTGCGTTGCTAACTTCCAGATTTGTTCAATAAAACCGCAAATCGTGTTCAAGTTAATCAGACAATATACTCAAATTCCTTAATATTACAATTTCTTAAGAAAATTTGACCCAGCTACAAATTTCAGTACACAGTCAATATTTCTCAAATTTCTTCAGTCTCTGTAAACAATGAAATCAAGTCAACATATTTTGCTTGTTTGAACAAGGTATTAGATGAAGAGTTATTGTTTATCAACTAAAACTTATTAATGGCTTACAGATTACTTACTCGGCACAAGTGTAGAAATACAAGTTAATAAAAAGGTGAGGCTGGAGTGTATGTTGGTAGTAGAGATGGCCTCACTTCGCTTATGTAGGAATTCAGATTGCTAGTGCATTAGCTTCGGACATTGAATCTTGGAAACAGTCGAGATGTTTCAGCCCTTCCTAAAGGCATAGCCTTCAAATGCATTTAATTGAAAATGCTAGAAACCGTGCTGTATCCCAATATTCAAGACATATTTATTAGCATGGAACGGAAGCAGAAATCTTCTCCTGGTGTATTCAATCCATCTTCTTTTCAAACCAAACGTGTAATTATTTTTTTTCGTTCAGGCTGTAAAATAACTTTCGGTCAATTTCATTTAACTTCAAAGCCTTTCAGAATGCTTCTTGATGGCAGCAATTTTGATTCACTTCGTGCATAGAGTCAACCATGAAAAATGGCATAGGAACATACTAAGTTTGATCAAAGGATCCCAAAGTTTCCTCGCCCAAATTTCAAATTTCAAGATTTTATTTTAGGTACTTGAGAGGTTTAGAAAATTTATTAAAATGCATTTAGGTGGGTCAAGAGTAGTAAATAGAAAGTTGTGTTAGATATGTCCTTCAGATATTCCTTATCAAAATAAAACTATTTTTCACATCTTACTATTGAGACACCTTACGCTGAGACAATGAAAGTTATTTTTATGACGGGATTGCGACTGAAATCGATTAAATGGGACAAAGGAACATAAATACATTTAAATACATTCAATCGTTTAATAAGTCTAACTTGTTCAATCTCTGTATTCGAATTGCTCAGTGCCAGTCAAATGTTTAGCCTACTTCTTCATGTCCAAAATTTTATATGAATATATCATGTCCACGATATTCACTGCCTCCTAACCGGTTTGATTATATGAACGCTCGATCTCTCTGCTTCAATTTATTTATTTCCTTTCAAATACCGTGAAAGTTGGATTTTCTTAAATTCGAACTTAGTAAAAAAAATTTGCCTGCAATGCCTCAACTAATGAAACAATCATCATATTTCACCTAAATATTCGACCTCAGAGTCGCACATATTTAGACTTGAAATTAATTTCTCTTCGTTGTTTAGAAACTGCCTTTTGGGAGGAAATTGATCCTTTGCATGCCCTTGACATTCAACCAATGAGAAGGTAGAGGGATATTCCATATGCATATATAAAGTCACCTCGTTCGTCTTGGTTAGTGAGTTCTAGCATTCTGAGAATATATAACATGCCCTCCTTCAAATCTCTATTTTTCTTCCTGGCTCTCATCGCCATTTTATCTTTGGCAACTTTGTCAGCAAAAGCCGCTGTTCTACGTGTAAGTCGTATTTTCTTGTTGATTATTTCATACTACTCTTATCTCTTTTTTTCTCTTCGATACCACCGAGTTATTATTCTTTTGAAACTCGACAGGGTGCAATGGAGCCATTTGATGGCGAAGACATGGTTGCGATTCCCATCAGCGTGTTCAAGAAGTGGACTGACTTTAAAAGAAGTTACTAGAATTCCAATGTTTTTGGGGGGCTCGCTTTCCTTCCGCATTAAACCGGAATTTTTCATTGCTAAATAAATAACTTATAGTCAGCCTTCTCCTTTTATCTTTTCCATTTTCAAAACTTAACGGGTTCCTTTAGCTACTTTTCAAAAGAATTTTCATAACAACTTAAGATGTGTTTTAATGAATAAGAGTAACTTTTACCGCGTGTAACGAGTTGCATATGAAATTTATGAAAGTTCACCTTTATATACAATATTTTTAAGGAGCAAATTCAAATTTTCATCACTACCTAGTTTTCTGAGAAATTGGTAAGAAATTTTGAGGGATAGTTTAAATTTCGTCAAAAATTAACACGATAGAACGGTATCAGAACCTTCCATTAATGTTCATTATTTCTTCATATGAACTTATTTGAATGTATATTTTGAAAACATTTTTATTGTTCTTGCAAAATAAAGACATATGGGGACTAAGTTGACTGCAAGCGCTACTATTTGCATTAATTTTATTCATTAATCAAGATCTTCGTGAAATAGTTAATGCGGATCTCATTCGGATAACACTCAAATTTTTAGAGGAAAGGGTAATTTAGTCTATACAAAATTACACAATTTGTAACCTTCGTAAATTTATTGGCTTTCTTCAAGTAGCATTAGAAACCATCACAACAAATCATTCTAAAAGTACAGCTGCTTACAAATATAGTGAGCATTACATATGTTGATAAGAGCTTTGCGTCCTATTTAATTTTCACACTTCGACATTTTTGTCGTGGTCATAAACTACATTTTAGTATAAATATTTGGGGTATTCAATAAATAAGGACAAAACTCTACTTGGGGCAAGGTCCATACAGCTTAAGTGGTAGAGAGATAATTTTAAGCTTCCTGGAAGAGAACTCTGCCGTCAAAGTTGAAAATTGACGTCGCTGTCTTATCGTAAACCCAAGGATATTGAAATACCAAGGACAAAGTCTGTATCTGTACCGTTTTATGCGTGGACCAAGGCGAAAGCCGTTACTTGACCACATAAGCCATTCATGCCGCCCCACTTCGGATAAAAAGTTGTGATCACGTAGGCAAGATAGCCGCTTCATATCACCATTTGGACTAAATCATTTCATCTTCTTCATTGCGATTTTGATTTCATTTACTTTTTTTGATTTCCTCAAAAGTTCATTTGATGCACGACATAAATGTTTACCTGTGCTCACTATCATAGCAGGTCGATGTCTGTATGAGCATTATGACTCATTCGACCCCCCCGCCCACCCTTTATTCACGCTAACGTGCTTGAGCCATTCTTTATATCTCCTAACTGTCTATTAGGTTTACTTAAAGTACGTTTTATTAGCATTGCTCCCCCTATATGAACATGATTGAGCAGGCGTAACAAAGTTTTTGTGCGCACACAAAGCCTCTAACGCTACTGAGCTAAACAATAAAACATTCCAACCAGATAC